GAGGAAGAAAATACAAAGCATTGAAGAGTAAATAGCAAGTCAATAAGTGTATGTCTGTAGTTCACCACATAACACATAGAGATAACAGGAAAAAAAAAACCCTGAACATTCTCCCCCACCCCGAGATTTCTTTAATGGTAAATTAAATGGTATGAGTGTTGTACTCAAGTCTATTTTCTGAGCATGAAAATTTTCCCTTAAATGACCAGATCTGCTCATTTCTCAAGTCCCCATCTCCTGTGAGTCCTGGCTGTGTGTTCTGTCTGCCTGGGGGATATGAAAGCCGAAGCCAAGCCCTGTCCTCAGCTCAGCAGCCTGGCAAGGTGTTGGCCCAGGATACGGTGCTGGCAGCTCCAAAGCTCCTTTTCTTGGCTTCGATTTTCACTATCCATTCCAGAAGCCTTCAGGTGAGTTTGGGAAGATGTGGGAAACTCAGCTTGGAGGGGCTCACACAAGCCTTGGTTCACTGCCCAGATGCAGATGTGGGCTGCCCAGTGGCCTCAGCTCTGAGGAGATTCACCTTGGGAAAAGTGTGGCTAAGGAATATGCCCTCTGCTCGGGATCCCAAGTCTGTGTGTACCGAGGTCTGAGAGCTTGCCTTCTCTAAGCTTCCCCATGCTTCTGATGCTGATGTGTAAGAGATGCAGGTCACACAGGGGCAGTAGGGTAAATAGGAAGTGTGGGAGAGGGAGACCAGAGTCATAAGTGGTTTTTTTTTGTTTGTTTGTTATTTATTCGTTTATTTATTTGAATCACAGCAGTCATGTGATCTTGCTCAGCCCTGGAATCTAGCAATCCTGGTAGCTTAGATTCAAAGCTCTCCCCCGCCCCCGCCACAGTACCCTATTTCATTAGAATTTCCTTCCTGCTAAAGTCCACTTCCCTCTCCTGTGAGTCTCAGTGGCCCTGGAAGAAGTCTCCAACTTCAATGCTTGACCACATTCTGGAATTAGGTTTTTGTGTCTTCTGCGGGCAGAATAAGTTTGTTTAATAAACTAAAACTTTATACATATTCCTCCTTATGGGTCTTATTCTTGGTATTTTTGCCCACCCTTCCCAGAGTTACTGCAGCCGCCCACACCTTTGGGATTGGGATTATCCATTTCTACAGCACAGTGGACAGTCTTGTATCCCCCATCATACACACAGGTACCCGGAATGTAAGGGGCAGGCTGCAGAGTGGGTACAGTGTGCCTGCTCTGCCAGGCTCTGCTGATGTGAGAGCTACCATGGATGCTATGAACCCTGCCCAAGCTGCCCAAGAGACAGCTGCCAGCATTTTCATGTCTCTACCTTGCCCTGTCCATTGCACACCCTTGCTTGTCTTGCTTGGACGTCCATTGCCCAATGAGAGTCAAGTCACTTGGAAAGGCGTGGTAGGGAGGCTTAGGCAGACATGGGGAGTCAAGTTTCTGGGACCACAGATAAAGCACAGAACAGCCTAGTTGGTCAACACCAGTGGAAACACTGTAGATGTATCTAATTCGGGCTACCTGTCTACGATGTAAATTTGCCTTTCATCTTCCCATGGCTCAATGATTTGAGGCACAGATCCATACAACTTGCAAAGGAAGCTTGCAGCACAAGTCGCAGGGACGCTACTGGTTCCCTTGAACCGCAATCACCATTGTCAGCATCGTTATTTCCACCAGCTGCATCCCTTTGCAGTGCAGAGAATGAAGCCAGATTCCCCCACGCGCATGCTAGGCCAGCCTTGACCATTCAACCACATCCAAAGTCCGTGTTAAATCTTTAAAGACATTTCCACCAAGAGAACTTTGGTATGCCGATGATAATTTACATCACACGCCTGACTCTGACAAACAGAGCAACATTCAAACTCCACAACAACACTTGCTTTGTTTCAGATCCATCCCTCATGTTCCCTAGGCAGAGCCCGTGTTCTGTGGAGGAAAAGTGATGCAGCAAGAAGTAATAGTCATAGGACATTTACTATATCATTACTGTTGTCGCAAATGCTTTCCTTAATTTTTTGATTGAAAAAAATCGCATAAAGCCTATGATGTATAAAGTACAATCTCTTTCCTTTCACAAATGACTAGGGCACAGAGAAATCAGATCCCGTGACTGAGAGAGAGCATGCTCCTTACTTCTGTACATCAGTTCCCTGCTGTATGGCAGATCAGGTGACGGATTTCTAGAAGCTTGACACAGCAGCCAATGTTCAGTAGGTGCTCATTGAGATTATTATGTGTATTTAATGGACCAGTCCATCCCAAATGGAGTGATTTCTCAACTTATAGGGATAGAGTGCTAATGAAAAAATTACAGTTTTAATTAGTGGTTTTGCCAAGCTCGCACAAACAATGGCCCTATCCAAACAAGACTCTCTGGATCTGTTAAATCCCCTCCCGCGTCATTGGCATGATCCCTTAGTGGCAGCCATTCCAATTGTTAGCCTTGCTTTGATTTGTAGGGCAGAAATGTTGCATTCCTGCATGCATCTGGGCTTCTGGATCACCCCGTGCTTCTAGGTGTGGGAACTGTTTTTTAGTCTGGACCCCCAGGACCTTGTTAGATCACCTTTGCTTGCTGACTGCCCGGTTTTCTTACTAATCATTCAGCAAGAGACTTGGGATTTGTCTTAGAGCCTCAGAACTAGAGAGCTAGGTCAGCAGAGGTAGCAGCTGCTCCAGATCTGGGTTTATAGTTTCTGACTTGCTGGTATCTAGGGTTTGCTGCTGAGGCTTGTGAGGTTCACAAAGGAGTCTTGACAGAGAGAGGGGTCAAAATAAAAGCAGAGGAAAAAGAAAAGAAATGATCTAGAGAGAAATGACCTTTGTAGGTTGGAACAAAATTTTGAACTGGGAGATTATTTGGGGGTAGATATTTCAATGTCTGTCTTTCTTTCTTTCTTTCTTTCTTTCTTTCTTTCTTTCTTTCTTTCT